TGGGGGGTCTCGAGCTGGAAATTTTGAATGTGACTGGAAAGTTTGTGCTCTATCGGTTTGGATCTAAAGTGAAGAAAGGCGCAAATTCCTGGATACTAGTTTTTTAACCTGTATATCTTCGGTAGCAACGTGTGAGAGATATTTCGCAACTCATGAAGGAGATAGCTTATCATCTCTAGTCGCGATAAAATTGGTTTGCCGGTCTGACAGAAGTCTGTGTTCGAAGGCACTCCTGCTAAGTGAGCCCGGCCTGGCTGGACGTAACATTGAGCTGCTCGGTATTACGTACGACGACCGTCGAACCTAGCAGCCAAGTAAATGGCGCAGTTTAACAAGGTTTACGTGGAAGGCAGCCACCTAGGTGGCATTTCAATCAAATTTCCGAACGAAATATCCACGCTGACCACCAGTAATCATTGCAACTCACCTTGAGTGAGTAAAATCTACAGAAAACACATCCAATCGATATCAGGTCATCCCCATCCCAAACACGCTGGTTATTCTACCTTATGATTCCAAGAGGAGCACTGGAGGTAGTGAGCAATTTTGCCATACCTCAGTAGTTGTACTAAATGTGATGGAAGAGTGTCCGACGAAGACAATACACGAAGCCCAAAGGCCCGAACAACTCTTGCTGATTTGCCTCGCTTGTGGCGTCAAAAAAGAATAACGCAGGATCTCATGTATCGTTGCGAGACATGATCTCTTCGGACAGATGATATCAGCCGACTGCAGGTTTTTTTTACCACCAGTGTCTCAGAAGTGTGCCGAGTGACTAAGCAACTGGAAAATGGGCATCCAGCTGTGTAACAGGTACATGAATCACGGAAAGCATTCAACACGATCATCAGTGGTGTTTCAATGGCCACTAGCCACGCATGACCGTCGTCTACGGAGCTGGGTGCTGTTCTCCATGGCTAAAACTGCGAGGTGGACAATGTGTGGCTCGACAGAAGGTATGAAAGAGATTGTGAAGAGTTCAGGTGTTGCAATAGGGCTTCAGTGCCCCGCTCCTTTTTGCATGGAGACATCTAACCCACGTCAATGGCGTTCGCGGTGTCAGTTCCCTTCCAGATTGTCTAATTGGACGTATGCGGGTGTAGGCGTGAGCTTGAGACAACCCTGTGATTATGGTGCGAATTTACTGACCTTAAGGTCCGGGCTTCGAATCTTGACTGCTCCTATATTGGTTTCGAAAGCCTGGCAACATCTTGGTCCTTGTGCTTCCTTCAGATGACATCGCAGCTAATCGCTAAAAACAGTGTTACATCTGAACACTTGTAGGCACCCCAGAATGGTTTCCGTGCACCAAGTCCCCCATCACCCACTGTATTTTTCACTTCAAAACTTTAAATAAAATTAAACGAATCTTTTATTTACAATGAAACCTTACTGTTAACACCGACTGTGCCATCTCTTTCTCTCTGATGATGATGATGGTGAATACCTCGTTGAAACTTGCTCAGTTCAGCGAATAACCTAAAAACGTTACAAACGACTGTTGTGTGTGGTCAGCTAACCGGGTCATTGCAATCAGTCTACCATTAAATGTGGCTCTAAGTATTGCGCTTCTGCCACATTAAAACACTTGGTAGGCAGCTCCTTTTTATTTCCACTACATCTTCCTAGTCCGTGCGACGACCCATCACCTAGCAACAGGGCGTATCAGTTTCGGATAATTGAATCTGCCTAAAAAAACTCTTCTTTAATCTTAGAACAGCTTATCATTGAACGCTGGTGAGAGAAGGCTGAAAAGGTCTATATGATAGATTTAAGCTCCGAAATGGACAAAGTTAAAACCAGAGAAAAAGCTCGAAATGAAAGGTATACACCATCGTTCACTCTGCTGGTGCCACGTATTGACTAAAGTGGATATTATTGATTGATTAAAAATCGACGTTTTGTGGTGAGAAATTCGTCAACCAATGGATCGATGACAAATCAATTCTGGGACAAATGATTCAAGAGCTTGCCGCAGGATAAGTGAGTAATGCTCAGACAAAAACAACACAGCGCGAAAATTCGATCATCTGGGCTACCAGAACAAAACCGAAGAATCCGGTGCTGATCCGGAAATAAGCGGAAATCTTTTATCTCAACCAACGGTGTTTAGTTTTTTCTGGGTATTTCTACAGGTGCTCATTTAAGGGGCTTTCACTCAGGTTCCACTGAACGCGAGACTCAAATGCAAACTTGAGTTGTCTTTTTCATGATATGTGCTACGTAATTTTTTTTTAAAAAAGCATCTCCTGATTTGAGTGGAACTCTTTTCTTGCCAAAAATTGAAACATGCGTGATCTACTCAATGTCGGAAGATTGAGATAGACAGACGCTGACGATCTCATTTCCGAACAGTCTAGAAGCATTCAAAAGCAATCCGTTTCACATGTATTCATTGGCTTGGTGGTCATACCTCCTGGGGTTCGTTGCAGTCGTACCTATGAATTTTTCGTTAACCTGCGTTAATCCCCCCTGTGCCGGTTGGAGCAGCACCATAATCAATCTTCCTTCCAGACGTGTGACAAGTGTATCACCACTATTCAGAGAACAAAAGCATTCAGCGCCCCATTCGCTCAGGCAAGCTGAGCTCACCTTAACATGGCTCATATTCTTTGTGTTTCACTCCCAAAGCCCCCTGGACGATTGGCGCCGTTTTATCACATTTGACAATTATACTTGTGAACAGTTTATCCAAACTGTCATGAAGATTAATGGGCCCATTTCACCACGTTCAGTCGAGCTTTGTAACTGGTTGTGTAGATTTCCAAGTTGAGATCAGCCAGACAAGGCAAGGTATTGTTTAACCGTCATTTGCAGTGTAAACATAAGTTGGAATCGAATGTTGTTTGTGACGGGTGTTTGGAGCTTCTCAAACTGAGGAAGGTCAGATCAGGGTTTATATATTCCTAGATTTCTCTCAGGCAAGCCGCCTTAGAGGGACCCCTGCAAAGGTGTCCTGGCACTTTTCACAATATGTCTCGATCAGAATTCTGTAGTGCCAGATGGAAACTTTAGGATGAAACGTCACTTTGAAATGTCTCAGACAGTGAACCGAAAAAAACTGCAGCAATACCAAGACATTTTAATGTGATGGAGAATCGTCTTCGGATTCTATTTTTCAAAATGTTTTAGGATTTCTGCTGTATCACTTACAGAATTCCACCAAGGTAACTTTGAAAAGTTTCCAATGTCATCAAGGTAGCGAAGCGAAGGGCTAGAATGAAATTTTTTCGAGTTACTACTGGAAAGAACAGGCTAAGGCAGCTTATGAGTGAAACCCTATGAATCTGAGTGGTTCATTAACTTTCACGAAAGTAAGATACGTTGAACTTGAATTTCGTTTCGAATTTAAGTTGTAACGATGTTATTTTGAAGCTGTGGGTCGTTGGTTCGAAAAAACCCAAGGGATTGGATCAACACATACGTCCCTCGTTCTGGCCTTCAGTTTTCAAATCGTCGGGTAGCTAACACAAAAAAACACCGTGGTTACCTGAGATTTCTCTCAACGTCACCTACTTACTTTGGTGTCGTTAGCTTGCTTCCATTGGGCCCAAAAAATACCGAAACTGTTGTAGTGGCGAAAAAAAATTCCCCACATTTTCCGGGAGCAGCATTTACGTGATTTCACAGTGAATTCAGCATGGAAAGTGTAGCGTGGCGGAGAGACGAACGATATTTTTTGTTGCTGTGATGTGAAGTCCACTCCTTGAATAGGACATAGCTGGAATACATCTTGTTTACACGCCACCCCTATACAACACTATCAACCTGAAGTCTACCTGACCACAAAGAACAACTAAGATGACTTTTTAACAGAAAAAGTTCTCACTTAGATAAATCAATCGCATTTTGACGAGACTTTCAACCAAACCTTTATACTACGCAGTTTGAGGTAGCTTTTTTGGAAAATATTTATTCCCCAAATTATCCATAAAATTAAATAGAGCGCTCGCACCCACTAATCATAGATCCTGGTACATAAAAGCAGGGAACAACTCTCTGAATTCGCTGTAATTCTTCGACCGTCCTTAGGTTCTAAATCGCTTTCGACTTTAACTCATCCGGGGCGAGATAGCTCAGTAGCTGGAGTGCGGATTTACCGACCGGAAAGCCCGTGGTTCGAACCCGACCTATGATTCTCGACTTCCCCTGTCTAGGCTTCGTCAACCTGGCAGTATCCCAGCCCTCGTGCTTTGTTCGGGTGGCATGGCAGTTAGGCACCGAAAGGGTGTTACAGCTGAACGATGCGAAGCCAGCCACTTCACAAGGTCGCCTGTTTGTTTTTTCGTATAATGTAGTGAGGAGTAAAACGTATGGAGCCCCTAATCATCCAGGCAGGTGAGCTACGGTATGAGATTGTGCAGGTAGGCCACAGTTTCCATATCTCCTCTGCTTTAGATATTTGCACGTAGCCAACCAGCTACGGAATGGGTCAAGTGAAGCTTCCGTTGTGAGCATGCTGGAAAGTGTATTGAGTCAGAGTATACAGAACAGCCTCACGGAAAGACAGTGTAATGCCCCAACCTCCTTAATGACTAGTATGTACCAGGCACCCAGCTGAAAACACTCACTCCATCGTTCTAAAAAGCTACCTTAATGACGCCTTAGTCCACTAACAAAGATGGTCTTCGCGGCATTCTGGCGTTTGCATAAAATTATCTGGAACGGCTTTACGGCCTCAACCTACCAGAGGACTTTTCAAACACGCGCATGGCGAAGTCCCTACACAATACAAATCAACACCTCTCTGCGAAATAACGCCCCCCCCCCCCTCTGAGATGATTGCTTGTCACCTCTTCAGGGGAAGAATTAATGCATCACTTAGTGGTCTGTTGCCAGTCGTTCCGAAATTATTTTACAATTGAGATGATTGTCACCTCTTCAGGGGAAGAATTAATGCATCACTTAGTGGTCTGTTGCCAGTCGTTCCGAAATTATTTTACAATTAAATGAAGGTTGCGAAAACGTTTGAAAATGAACTACGATACATATGGACTCACCTTTTGAATGAACCCGCTTCATCCAAGGGTATATCACGGTGGTTTGCGCTGCGGGTTGGGAGGCGTTCGAATTGCTCCCGTGACCAGAGACAATACCGAATTGCAGCCTACTCGGTTGCATAACCAACTTTCCGTTCATATCACAAAAGTTTGAATCGTCGTCAATGCGACTGCTGAGTTTATCGTTGGTGGGCAGATGTAGGTCCACATTCAGAGGTGGACTGTATTTGTTCAACCCAAAAGGGTGCACGTTTTGGGCGGCTGTGGGGAATCCGGTATCTTTCCATGCATTCTCTAAACTACCCATTTCAAAGGGACCCTGGGAATCGGCTATCTTTCGACATCCCAGATCTGGGTTATACTCCATGTTCTCTAATAGCCCACTACTTAGAGATATTCCTCTGCGGTTGTTCAGAACCAACTGCTGATAGTTGAACAGTGGATCGCCCATTTGAGACATATCACTTTCAGAATTGTATGTCTCCTCTGGATAGTTCGACAGAGCTCGGTTTTCGGTGCGGAAATTCGATGGTTCATTGGGGGAAGAATTGTACTTTGAGTAGGGAACATTGTCATGTCGATCCACCCTCGTGGAAGAATTGTTGTCAGAAATGGGACTGCTGTAGGGCAACGTTCGTGAAGGGAAAACGCCGACTGAAGGTGATGAACGACTGTATGGAATGGTTGAGTCTGTGAACAAACGACCGTTCTTGGTGTTCACAGTTGATGAGGTGACGAAATTGTTGTCCATTAGATTTCCCTCGTCGCCACAGAACTCCGGTCGAACAAGACCCATAAGGTTGTAGCTAACAGTAGGCGAGTGCAGTGAACTTGATTGGCCAACACAAGGTGAATTGAACTTTGGCGGGAGGCTCACACATGTTTGTGATACAACAGTTCCTTCATTCCCGACTCTGGTACCAAATGCGGTAGTGCCAGTATCGGAACAACATCCTTCGACTGAAGCGACTGAACCCTCGTATGTGAATGAACCAATCAGGTGCTTGGGTATCCCGCCGGTTGTTTGTGAACTGTGCATGCTGAGCAAAACACTCATTGATCGGCAGGTTTCGGTGGTGGCGGTGCGGGTCCTGGAGAACACAAGACAGGTTTCAAGCACACCTGGTCTTCTAGAGAATTTAGATTAATGGCCTCCGAAATGGATCTTCGAGTGAAAAATACTGCCGACGATAAGTCGCCTGAGGTATTTAGCAGTAGATCATTCGTTTCCCCATTAGACTAACGGTCCACGTTGCACTTCAACACACGCACTGTCGGTCTGGGCTCCCGATCACTCCAAGTGCCACCGTAAATCAATGTCTGTTTGTGGACGGGTTCGCCCCCGGAGGGTAAGCAGGTAAACGAAGAGTGATAAATGATCTCCAGACTATCCGCGCAGCAATTGGGCAGCTGTTGATGTTACTACCAGTGTTAATAGGCCTGTGCAGGAAGCAGGACTGGCACCGTGCTTGTTGTCCGATCGTACTTTTTGCGTATGCCTGGCCTGAACACAAACAGAACCGAAACAACCGGGAGGTGGTGGAGCAACCTTGCCACTGTTTCGCCTGGCTCTGTGAGGCCATAAATTATCCGGAACACGTCTCGACCGTAACACGCTGCCACTAGTGCAGGAGGCGACGCGCAAAGGCGCGCACACACGTCGATGCACGCATTCGAAAAGCGTAGCCGCTCCCCAATCGGGAGTGGCGAGTGTAGCTCTCTATGGGTGGGCGTGCGCTGAGTGAAAAACAGCCTCCACTTTGTCGGGGCGACAAACAGACAAGGTCCCACGGACGCACATACGGGTTTACATAGGCTATTCTCCCAGTCGGTCTGACTCGATCGAGGGAGTGGCAGGTCAGACTTTGTTATGGGAACAAGTGGGATGAGAGGAAAACAAATGGGTCAAACATCGTCAATCGCAACATGGTCAAAATCACCACCGCCACCACTGTAAACCTCACCATGGGTCTCACCATGGGTTGTGTCTGTATCCTGTGATCACACCAATGGGATGTGGAAGCGCGGACAGGGAGATTTTAGTGGCTGAATATCTATTTTATCCCCTGTCCGTCTATCAATCCTGTCCAAAGCGCATCGCTATCAGTCACGGTGGAAAAAAGAGGACCGGACTAACGGACGCGAACAGTCCGACCGAAGGTAACACAAGCGACAGAGGGGTATCTTCTCAACAGGACGCTTGGCTAAACAGCAGTCCAGGTTGGTCATCTCAATGCTGTCCAGGTAACTGCGGCAACTGCTGCGATCCACCTTTTTTGCAGGCAAGTAGTTGTGCCGAATTTGTTTGACCAGCTTTTTGTACTCATCACAGCGAACGTTTTGTACGGACCCAGGTGTGTTTCAAAACGGCGACATCAACCGATTTTTTTTACAAGTACCAGCGGTTCATGTTGTTCCGTTGTTTTCTGTAGTCAGTTTTCATATAGAAATAAACTTGAGTTCCCCCAGGAAAAGTGAATTTTGCGGCACACTTTGATCTTTTTGAACTGTTTGTGTTTGGTCAGCCATGTACGGAACGATGTTGACGTCCAATCTCAGAGATTTTTGGAAAAAGGCGCGTCTAAACTTCCTCACTTCACTGAATGCCAAAGTCCTATTACTGGTCCATCTATACAATTCAATCGCGAAGTGGCGTTCGCGTCTGGTGTCGTTCAGAATAGAGCGTTACACTGAGTTGTACAATCGATAATCCATTTCCGTGAAGTTGCTGATGATGAGCGGTATCCCATGCCCCCATTGACAAAAGTATGAAGTAGGACAGAGCGTTTCTTACTTTTCCCGTGTGCAGCTCTTTCCGATGTAGCATTTCTGCCGGAGGATCGTGAAGTTTTTTAATACTCGACCCGGGAAAATTTGCATCCGGTAATCCCTGTTAAAACCCTCCCAACGTGCAAGTGGGTACCTGTCTTGACACAAGAACAGTTTGGGTGATTCTGTGGGAGGATCAGGTTGGTGGAAATTCGGCGACCAGGTCAACCTAATGGAATTCAGAAAAGAGTGAAACTGGCAGTGGTGTGTGACCTTCAGGTAGTGTAAAAAAACAAACACTAAATGGACTTCGGTAGCTTGATTACTGTTCCGACCAAAAACTTGAGAGGATCTTTATGCAGCATAATCAGCTGACCAGTTTGAATTCGTTGTTGATGCCATCACAGTTTTCAAACACATTCCACAATTTTAGCAACCTATAGGGTAGGCTATACCGAGATTCCGCACCATTCAAACGTTTGTCAAGAGAGTCTGGTTTTGTCATATTCAAATGTACGTCGATATCACGGACACACCACATCAAGAGACAAAGTGACAAAGTATCGGATGACATATTGCGGAGGTCTCTGACAGGAATTCAGTGGATCCCTTTTCCCTACTCAGGTGAGGCTTTCGCAAATATGTTGATATCTTTTGAGAAGTGGGATGTTGCCTCATAAGCGGGTCTTGCGGCACGGCAATACAGTGGCCCATTCAAGACTGATCCCCCAATGAAAAGACTATCGGAGACGAGTGCTGTATCCACTATGACCCTATATCGAAGTTCTAGTGAATAACCCTGATCTAGGCTTTTGACTACACGGTATGAGATGACCCCGACCTCAAAGTCACAGTGTTCGGGTGATGCTCACCTAACGGTTTAGCACTTTTCATTTCTTCACTAATTTCCATGCAAATTGGAGGATTGAAACAAGGATACCAAATCGGGTGGGTTATTGCATAGGCATTCGATGTGATCAAAGAAATAAGGGGGGAGGGTACTCCAAATAGTTTGTTGGCCATACTATAAGATTTAACATGCAACGCTTACAAGGCACTCGTCCCAGGTCACGCACCGAGTGTGATTTGCGATAGCTTACTAATTGACCAGTGAAAGTGTTTCTGTCTGTTCAGCTGGTGATTCTTTTTTTCCTGGGGGGGGGGTTTCGATTATTTTTTTCACTAACACAGCAACACCCCAAAATGACCGCGAAATTACCAGCTGTCCATTCAGCCCGTCCGAGCGAATTCATTTGCGAAATTTCGAGAGAACTTCATAATCCTAAAATGGATATCCAACCTTTTTTCCTTCGCCGTTTCCCTTGGTTCCCCTTCGATATGGTATGCGTACACATAGTGGACAAGGTTGGAAGTACAAATGACCCTTCTGCTCAAGAGCTAAGCGCACTGCGTTAGAATAATCGCGCTGGAACATATTTGACCAGAAAGTAAGGTGTACCGCCATTCCAATCAAGCATTACCTCCCCGCAAACAATAATAGGGCAGTAGTTATATTGGCGCGTAAAAGTAACATTGCTGTCCGAAGATCGAATCGTTCAGCTGTAACACCCTTTTGGTGCCTAGCTGCCATGCCACACGAAGGAAGCACGAGGGCTGGGATACTGCCAGGTTGCCCAAGCCTAGACAGGGGAAGTCGAGAGGCGGAGGTCGGGTTCAAAACAGACCTTTCGGTCGGTCAGTTCGCGCTCTGAGCACTGAGCCACAGAATGCTTACACCAGGCCGGTGGTAACAATATCCGGCTCACAAAGAATTGCTACTAATCACTGAGTTCCACGCACCCTATTTGTTTATCCGCACGCTGAGCCCGACAATTCGCTCAAAGCTTTGGTTTAGTACTTTCCCTTACTTCTTCAGCAACCACCTTTCCATACAAAATTAAGGACATTTTTTTCGCTGTCGCAATACTGCTGAGGTTCAATTTCTCCGCCACTTCTAATCTAGACCGCTTCTCATCAAAATCGGTGATCTGCTCGGTTTCACGAATGCTCATCGTCTCTATTCTCTCCCATTCAAATCCAGATATTACTTCTTACCTGGTTGGGGGCGAGATGGCTCAAGTAGTTAGAGAAAGAATTTACTGACCGGAAGGTTCCTGGTTCGAACCCTACCTCCGCCACTCCACTTCCCCTGTCTAGGCTTGGGCAACCTGGCAGTATCCCAGCCCATGTCCCTCCTTCGTGTGGCATGGCAGCTAGGCACCGAAATGGTGCTCTGGCTGAACAATTTTTTTTCTTGCTTGGCAAGCTACGGTGCACACTAGGTTCAGGAACCCGTCCGGTCGATGACAACTGAAACTAATTTTGGTAGTTCTATGATCACATCTTTTTGATGAAGCCATCCGTGTCGATTGCATTTGATCAGACAAAAACAGATAAATTCTTGAGAACGTTTTAATCAGATTGAGTCACGTGATACCACCCGAAATGCCCACATTCGATACGAATTTGCTGAACGATGATCGATAAAGGATCCATAAAGGACGCCAGAAGGGAAAAAAATCTTGTGGTGACCATGTCGACTCAGTTGGAATTAAGACCTATTGATCTTAATATTATATGACGGTAAACCGGGAATATTTTACTACTGACCAAATTTGAGAGAAGGCATTTTTCCGAAAGAAACTAATCAATAGTTTGTCGAAAGCTCTTCGACGATCTCTTGCCGGTTTCGCCCTTCTTGGGGCTCATCATGTAGGCGCAGTCCCCGAGTTTCCGTCAACCTTATGTTCTACTTAAACTCAGATTGTGTGAAGTTTGCCAAATACACTCGTTTGCACAAAAAAAATTTTTAACAGGAGGATCAGATGAATCCCACCCGGAATCTTCCGTTTATTGTTCGAATGAATTTGCCGCACAAAGTCCACCTGATGTTTCACTTGGTAAAATATTCGAGTACATTGCTCAGACACAACACAGCACTATCAAGTTAGAAGATTCAGCTGGATTCAGTTGGATTCTGGCGTCAAACGACTGCACTGGCGTTCACACTCACAAGTGTACAGAATACCACAAAAGACAGATTCAGCGGAGACTCAGGTGTTTCCCATGGAAACCACTTTCGTACGCAAATGAGTATAGAGAGGTGAGGCTCAAATATTTCAGAAGAACTCAGCGGCCGTATAAAACGTACAGGTAAAAATGGCCTCTCTTAGGCAGAACATTTGAAGAGCGAGCGCAGGGCTAAACTAAATGGAGTTTCATCCTATGGTTCAGTTTAATCACTCAAGTTGGCGACTTTTGGACGCATAAATTTGTCTGTGTACTCTT